ATAAATAAATAAATAAATAAATAAATAAATAAATAAATATAATCTAAATCAGCTCTGCCAAAATGCTAATACACCTAACAAACGGGAGAGAGGAAAATCTTCCATCATTTATAAAGGGATGAAGGAGCAGGAGCTTGTTCAAATAAAATCCAATCAGACATAAATCAGGAAGAAAGAACACCACTTACTCTTCAATATTGATCTCCCAGTAAGCCTCTTGAACCACGGGGGCCCAGGTAATTTCACCAGTGAACAGCTGAGTGTCAATGCCTCCCAATATCAGTTCTCCTCCGTACTGGACAGTTGGTTCGCTGATAGGAAAGGGAGGAAATGGACCAACAGACAGTATTAGCTATAGCTTTTCATCTGCTTGAGGTCTTTAGGTATACAATAAACATGCCTAGGATCCTTTTCACCAGAAAATGTGGTCAGAAAGTAAAAAACAGCATTTGGGTAAAATTAAAAGAGAACAATGAAGCAAACCGAGGACAGATTGCTGTGCATTAATTCTGAATATCCACACATCCCAGCCTACCCCCCACCCCTACACATACTCTTTCTTATCCTGGCTTTTTGCCTCTCTTTCAATATAATTGATGGCTGAAATGTTGAACTTGATTATATTTCTGATGATGAGATTGAGCCATGAAATAAAAGTAGGAGTTGCTGTATCCCAGCTAATCCATTCTGGAAGAAAAGCATAATTACATTTATGCACTGTGGCACACATAAAGTTGGTTAATCTTACCGTGAGAAGTAAAAGCTGAAAAGGGGTTCAGAAATCTGCTTTTGGTGCATCATCTGGTACAAGAGTGTGTATGTCCCCATAGCATTTGGAGTAGGATTGGTCATGCCCAAAATCCCATCAAACATGGCATAGTACCAGGGATGGGTGGGTTCGTCCACACTCAAGCCAAACTCCTGGTTTTGAACGACAATATTCTGGACCTGAGAGAGAAGATTGAAAAATGAAACTGCATTTGATTTGCAGTTCATAGCATTGCAACCATTCTGCACTTTCGCTTGAAATTATCATGTCTTTATCATAAACATAAAGATACATGGTGAGCATAAACTCTTGTTCAAGTCAAGCTTGATTCCTGGTGACTTCCATATCATTTTCTTG